AGACCAACTGAAAAAAGGGAAAAACGATGTCAACTCTTAAGGAAAATCAATTGAGAAGGAATTCTCAATAGCCAAATTGTTGTGAAAGATAAAACAGGAGGTAGGAGTTAATAATAGGCTACAGATTTTTTTCCATCTCTATTGAAACTTATCTTAAATAAATGTTCTTTATTGTTCTCTGGAAACTGCTTATGGGTGGCTCAGTCTTCACTAACTAGACAAAAGGAATAATGTAAATTCCTTGTATCCGGGGTATTCCTCTAATTAGAAGTGGTAACAAATCAGAGAAGAAATTTGATTTTGATAAAACATCTGCAAATGACAGCTGCCTTTTCACAAAGTTCTATGTCATTCCTTCACTAAAAATAACAATGACAATAATAATAAATTGCCAAAACAGAATATATTGCAGTCATCCATTTAATAATGTATTTTAGTAGATTGTGGTTATTCAGCATTTTCAATTGTCTTTTCAAAATAAGTGATTCTTTATATGTTCACAGCTTAACAACTCCCTTTCCCTGAGAATTTCCCAGAGAATTTTAAAGTATATGACTTCACCTCAAAAAGGTTATTTCATTGGTGATGACATAAATATTTGAGAAAATTACACATATGAAATAAAAAGAAAGAAATTGACATAGCCATGTTTCAGTCACACATGTTCCCTACATAATGAAGCCACACTAGTAAAAATTTTCTTTCAAACACAGGTACCAATACTGGCTACTCTCGACCTCTCATGTGCAATTGGTCTTGCGACTTCTGGTCATCAGCCATAACCAGCACTTCTGGGCACCTGCTCCATGGGAAGGTCCTGGGCTAGCTGTCATCCTAAAGAGGGACCCAGACACATACGTACTCACAGTAGTTGCTGAGTCTGCAAGGGAGCCAGATACCATCTCAACAGCAGACTGGCGAGAAGGGACAAACCAAGAAAAGATGGGCATCTAAGAACAAGAGGATCGAGCAATAGCCCACTGTCTTAAAGGGGCACTTAGAATCCCTGAAAGGACTTTGCACAGAGAGAGAACTTGTTCCCCAACCTGAATGTGACAGGTGAGGAAGCTAAGGTCCAAAGAAATTGAGAGTTCTGCCCAAGATACCAATGGCAGCATTGGAGCTGGAACTTTGGGTTCCCATCTCCTATCCTATTACTCTTTCCTGCTTGCTCAGAAATGATTAAATCACTATCCGTTTTTCTCCCATGCCCCTACCTACCAGTGCCAAATAAGTAGACTTTAGAGGAATTATGAAGTTGACACTCTGGCTGAGGTGATAAGGACGACCTTTCACCAAAGCCTCCTCTGGTCTCAGCTGCTCCTGGTCAAGGCTGCTTCGGCACGTCTACCCTCTGGTCAGTTACCAGCCAGTCACTAATGTGCCTGGAGATAAACATGCCAAAAGCACTAAAAGCTACCTTCACAAATTCATAAAGGCCAATGTTTTGAACACCAATATTACTTTCAGTTATTGAAAGAAGGAAGGTAACATGGGTACTGACTGCAATATGGGGGCTTTATGAATCACTTTTCTACAGAACAAATTGGGCATTTTAACAAACCCTTTAAATCACTCACATTCTGCTCTATATGCAAGTCTTCCCTGAATGCCGACTTAGTAATAAAAGCAGAAAAAACCAGAAGTCTGACAAAAGCACATTTCTTTTCTGTGACCAAAGACTACTGTGTCGATATTTATGGGGATGGACTCATTTTGAAAGTAATTTCACAATGAAATGATGTTGCTAAGCACACTGATTTTTATTTATTTATTTATTTTTAAAAAGTTCAATAAAAAGCTCAAGAAGTGAGCAGACCCTTTCAGACGTGAGGGTTTTATGCGCTCACACAAGCACACCCACACTTCTTCAACATACCATTTCATGAATGCTGTGTATTATTAAGAAGAGGCGGATTCTGCCAGACACATAATTTGTATATTTAAAGGAGGTGTATGGAATGAAAAAGCGAAATATGTTAAATTTCAAAGGATTTGGAAGCAATGCTGCTTGTGAGCTTGTATTACAAACAGCCCTACATTATTACATATGCTATTAATGAGGCTAAGTGAATGAAAGTACAATTTGAATATGCATGACTATCCAATGAGCAGGACTTTTGTGTACTGATGAGGTTTTTTTTTTTTCTTCTTCTTCTGAAAAAGGATTAAAGTTATTCTTAGAAAAGTATGGCTTCCCAGAGACCAGTAAAATAAATGTACTTAGACCACTGTGTCACACCATATTCCGATGAAATATACAGGTGCTGAAAGAATGCCTTTGACTCTACCTAAAATTTCTGAAACTTGTGCAAATCCTACCCTCCCAAAAGGAATATTCCTCAACTTCAAGCAGCTGTGTCATTATAATTTCTAAGCAAAAATAATGATTTTGGTGGAGGTCCCTAAAAGTAGGCAAGGTTAAATAAACCTTTTGAGTACAAAGCCTTCACTTCCATAGTAAGGAGCACTAGTTAAAAGACTGGGGAATGGGTAAATTATTGCACCAAATGGCTGAGAATTAATCTCTGCTGACTAGCTGCAATCTAACGAGGCGTCTGTGTCCCAGGGAGCCCACAGCATGTCCCTGGCGGTATGTGCAGTGTGTCGAGTCTGCGTGGCACCCTTTGTCCTCGCTCACAGGCGGCCTTTCCCCTCATTGTCCATAATATCCTCATGCATCTGGGACGCGTGGAATGCATTCACACTAACAGACTGACCATTGTTTTCTCCCAGAAGCTTTGTTGAGCAAAGACTGCATCACGGTTACTGATAATTATATTGCTTAATTAATCAAGACAAAAAAAATTTGCAAATCATTGCCTGGTTGCCAAGCAGGGACATAAAAAATGACAACAATACAAGCTGAAGCAATATAACAAAAGTAACAGCTATCTGATCAGAGATTCTTACATAATGAAGCTATTAATGCTAAATCGGTTAATGTTAACATTGCTCCAGGTGTCTCTACTTAGATGCAAACAAAAAGGCTAACATTATGGATATAAAAGGCCAAATGTTGCCATGGATTCTGTAACCTGATAGAGAGGACAGCCTTTTCATTTGATTAGGGAATGCAATTTAAATACCAGAGACTGCAGCCAAACAAACAGACTTTCCCTCCACAGGCCTCTTGCATTCACCCTGGGGTCAGTGGTTGGTGAACAAAAGGTCAGCCACACTTGCCCTGGAAATGTCTGGATTAATTTTATTACATTGTAATGGTTTGTACTTTAAATGTAGGGATAACACTAAATTTCCAGTTGGCCATTATTCTCTTCTTCCCTTTAGGCTTTTTGAATTGAAATATTACAAAAGCGATTTGCTCTATTCATCTTGTCAGAATTTACGGCCAAATTTATAAACTTACACATACTTTTAAAAGAAATTTTACAAGATAATACTTGTTTTCATGCATTGTAAGTGTAATACCTTTTAAAAAATCACGTTTTCACTATTAAGTGAACTAAAATACCTTTTATAGTCTTTATATACTATAAAAATAAAGGCAACATTTAAAAAACATTTAAGTGACATTTTAGAGGGCCATGTTGAAAATGAACGAATAAAGCCAGTTAATCCATACTAAATGTTAAAGAAACACATTTTCCACTTTTGAAAGCTACTGGATACTGAATTTATTTGTTGTCTAATACTAAAATTGTTTCAGTTTAATTCTTAAAATTAAAGTAGTACTCTTTATGGACAAACATAAATATTATTAGCACTAGGCATTTTATTCTAAAAAAGTGAAAACCTCACATACACTGAGGCCTGAATCAAAGATAGTACCAATATTTAATATGAAAAACTTTTGGCATCTTTGCTCCCTGAATAGAGAAGAAGGTACCCTTTATGTCAAGCTCCTCACCAGCCAGAGTGGGACTTTTCTGAATTCAGGAGTGATACTGTATCTAGTCTGAAAAACAAGCATTTTAAACTTGGGATTCATTATTTATTCTGTTTTCATGGTAGTAACTATAATAAAAATAATAATAGCAATAATACAACAACAAATAACAGTTGGATCAAGTACTGTTGGAGGCACCTTTCATTTCTTAGCTCATTTAATCCTCATGACTTTAACACTTTAGATAGGTTATAAATCCTAGTATATCTCAGTTACCTATTATTTTAAAGCTTAAAAGTAGTGAGTATTTGGGGTGGTAACTTTTAGCTCCTTCAGGAGAACACGTTGGAATGTAAATGAAGATTATTTTTAATATCAAGTTTAAATACACAAGTCACTTTCTTGAGGAACAGTGATTTAATATGCTACATGTTTAATTAAAAAACCCCTAATAATTCCAAAGCAAAACCAAGTCACTATCTAAAGCACTGCTAAAGTACCACTAAAGGCATGGCGAGGATTGGAACCGCAGCCAATTTAGCACACGGCATGTAACCATCGGATTGTTCCAGCCATTCCCATGACCAGTACCAATTGACATGGCTGAACTGATTCTGTGGCAAGGTGCTTCAATTGTGAAAGGTCATCACATGGGCTGTGCTACAGGCATGCCCGTAGTCCTTTAGGATTGACTACATTAGCAGCAGTCGGAGACTTGGCAAGCAGTGCCCATCCATCAGGCTAGGTTAAATTCTGTAATCATAGCCATCCACAAAATGCTAGGTGTGATATGGGATCCATTTTACTCTTATTAATAATCAATATGCTCAAAATTCAAAATTACAATTGTTTTAAAATTACAAAATTTAAAACATTTAAAAAATCATAAATGTCTTTAACATTATAATTTGCAAAGAGGCTAAGTAATAAAATATGGAATTCCGTACTCATGATGAAAGATTCTTGGAAATCCCAATTCATATTTAATTGCTATAACACGTGTAATTCAGATACATGTAAGACATTCATCACTTGGAAAAAAGTTCCCTTTAACATATTTATATCATTATTTTTTAATAATGGTGAATTATATGGGAAATGTTGTATGAGTCATTTAATACAGTCAGTCAATAATGAGGTGAAAACGTACCTCGGGTTTCTTCGTTATCGCAATAAAGAACATGTGATTCTTCATTGGGTAAATAATGATTGAAACGTCTCCAAAGGCAGTTGGGATAATGCCCCTGCGGTAGTCCCTGGAGTGTTCGGACCAGACGATGTGGACCTCATCATTCCCCAAGTGACGAAGCTGCAACAGCAAATTGGCTGTTTATTAATCAGAGTGATAACAAGCAGTTTATGAGGGGTCGTGGCTTACAAATTGAATTATAATACTCAGAGGCAAAAATATTTCACTACCAAAAAAGACTACAATGCCACTGTCTTCTATGAAGATCTGAAAAAGCACAAGGGCTTGAAAACACAGCTCACCTTCGATGAAACACATTGGTACTAAGATGCTGCTAATAAGCATCACAGGTACACTGTGACTGGATGGGGACAAGACCTTTTCAATGATTTTTTTAAATTAAAGTTTACTTCTGCATCAAAGACTTATGCTTTATATTGCTGAGCATGTTTGTAAACAATTAACAACATAAATCTTTTATTCCATATTACGGTAGCACTTCATAAGACAATTTAATGGTTCTTAAGAAAAAAAGAATACAAATATAGGAGAACATAAGTCATTATAACACAATTGTTACTAAATGTATAGAAACTAGACCTGTGACAAACCTTTAAGAATTATGTAGAAAATTATCTTTGTTAAAGATCACTTAATAATCTTTAATTACTTAGTAATTACCTAATAATAAGAACACTAGTAGTTGAAATTAGAGTACTTTACTGCATAGAAAGTATGTTCACACATATTGTTTTGTTTAACCTCTGTCATCTAACAAGGAGGAAATGGGGCCCAGGAAGGTGAAGGCATTGGGTACTCATGGTACGGTGCAGAAGAGAAGATACAGAGCAGGCCTGGAAACCTGGGCTGGGCTCCCAATTCAGCACCATTTCTATGCTCATGACTATCTAAGCCTACGCCCAAAGCTACCTGTGTTGTCACAGCTCAGTTTAGCTCACTTATTTATCTTATTCAAGAGAGGCCATAAAGTTTAAAAACAAGTCAGAGACTTCTGGCCTCTCTGAGGGGCCTTCTAATGCTTCCAAGGAAGGGACTTCTGAGATGCAAGGACATTGGTGATAAAAGCTCCTGCATAATGACTGGCCATCCTGGGATGGAGAAAGCCGCATATGAATCATCTGAGTAAACCTGAAAGTGTGACTAAAAGAAACCAGATTATAAAGATTAAAATGTTGGCCAAAATTGAAATCCTAAAACCATAAAGGCTGACCGATGAGGGCCCTTTGACCCTACTGAGAATTTGAGGTTTCAGTCCTCTCATACACAGCAGAAGAGCACTCACTGTCTTCCACCATGAAAAAATATTTCTTACTTCCTAGATTATTTAATAGATGAGCCCTAAAAATGACTAAATTCAGAGGGACTTTTAATAAAATAGAGATGTTTTGTCAAAGCTAATGTTTTAATTTTGTCTTAAAATATAAAAAAGGATGCTTTGGAATACCATTTATTGAAAACATGTTAGTATAAATAATATTTTCTTTAATAGACTATTTGACCACAAAGGGAAAATCCGAGGTGACTCCAACATGGCCTCCTTTCCATTTATAAGGTTACAAAGGAAGTTGGTTTGCTGCAATGCCTTCTTATTTTTCACCCTCTCATACTTCTGGGAACGACTGTACAAGTCTTTTTTTTTTCAAGAGACTTGTACCTGTACCTTTGTACCCCATAGTGAGGGGTGCACGATTTCATTGTGTCTGAATATGGGCTCTGGGACAAATGCTACCGTGGGTGCCGAGCACAAGTGACGATGATCCAAAACAATTTAATGGCATCTATGACTTTCTAAATGCAAAATTACTCACTACATCTCCCCCCCGCTTCCCTCCTAAAAGGATGGTAAGCAGCCCATTACATAAAAAGTAAAAAAAAAAAAAAAAAGACACTGGGTTCTTATATTAACGTTGAACATCTCTCTCTATTTCTCTATTTCCACCTTAGATGTTAGAACTTTTATTTCTTTTCTTTTACCTCTTTAATGAAATATTCAAGGACCTCTTAACACACTCCTGAGATTCAATGCTTTGGAATGAAAACATGATAGCCAGCATTACCAGCAGCACAACGAAGGCATGTTTTCAAGGGAAATATGAACAGTATCAATTTGAGAATCTGGGAGGAATTTAGTCCAGCAGATGGTAATTTTGAGAGCTGGGGCTGCCCCAGAGCTCACACCTATACCCCTCATCCTGCAAAGAGAGCCAAACTTCCAGGTGGTTCTGTGCCCCTTGGTAGAATGCTGGCACAAACATCTTACCAGGATCAACCCACCTACTAAACACCCTTCAAATGTGGGGCTATCACCTAATGCCAGCACCTTCTGTGTGACCTCTCCTGTGATCACTCCTGTGGATCCGGAAGTATATGTTGCAAGGCATTTGCTTGGAGGCAATACAGTGATTATTGAAAATTTGCAGTTACTCTCCCTTCTCTAAATGAGGCTGCTCAATTATATAACCCAATTCTCTTTTCAACTGTATCTCAGAACTACAGCAAGGGAGAATAGTATCATACTAATAGACCCATCCTCCCAGCATGGCAATTCTGTAATTAAGGAAGAGCTACTTTTTTGTGGTAATAATACAGTATTCATCATCTCAAAGCTGCTTTCAATGTCACATGCCTCAGACCTCTGGACACATCACAGTTTAACTAGATCACGCACAAACTAAGTGCTAAGGCCACAGGACTAGTTGGCTGATAAATGTGGAGCAAAGAGCAGCAACACACCCACTTCTGCCAATAACAAGAATACAAGCAGGTAAGATGAACCAAATTAACCTGGCCATATTGTCAGCCATGTTAGAACAAAAGGGAATAATACTCTGGGAACTTCAAAGGGTTGCTCAATTTAAAGGGGGTCTCATTACAGAGACATCATTTTGTGAGTTTAAGAGAATTTTGAGTAGAGGCCCTCCAATCAGATCCACCAGTGAGTTCCGTGCACACAAGTCAAGTTGATGTGACTCGTGTGTAATCTGGGAGGAGACTAGAAGTCTCATCCTGGAATGGAGCTGTCACTCCTGCCAGCTGTGCTTCAACTGCAGGTGTGCAGGTGCTTACCAGGCTCAGAAAAAATGCTTGGTTCTTAAGTCTTAAGAAATCACCCGCGTGTCCTGTCACTTCTTGTCCTGACAGAGTTTTAAAGTCCCTCCGCCTGGGCCATTCTGCCTGCTGCTACCAGGCAGCATGCACTGGTGACATTGGTCATGGTACACACCTAATAGGCTGACCTCCTTTCCCGACTAATTACATTACATCGCCAGCTGGCTCCAGAAGGAGTCGTCTGTTTGATTGAAGAATTCCTGCTCCTCAGTGCGCCCGGCTGCTACTTTTACTAAGTAACAGTCAGGCCTGACATCCCCATTGTTCAGCTGACAGTGTGCCCATCCTAAAATCTAAGTTTTATTTGTAAATTAACCAAGAAACTTCCTGCCAGAACAGTGCTGCCTGGAGACTGATAATGTGGGTCTTTCATCCCTTTTCACTCATACTGTATCACTGCCAATTTGTTTTTTATGCGGCTGGCCAGCCTGAGGCTATAAAAGCCTTGTAAGACATAAGTGCAATTATAGTCCTGGAGTCAAATGAATTGGACAAATCCAATAGCACAGCTCTGTCCCCACTCTGCAAACCCCTACAGCAGTTAGATTAGCTGTGAAAAATCTAATCTAGCAGGAGCTAACAAATTTCTACAGTGAAGGATCAAGAGTTCAGTATGGGGTTGCGACCAGATTGCAGAATTGAAAAAGTGCCCCCATGACAGGGGCAGAAGAGAGCATGAATCACTTTAGAATTTTGCAGCTCATTTTTAAGCTGTTAGGGAAAATTTAGTTAGAATAAGACAAAGAACTGTAGGCTACTGTTACTGTGACTGATTTTAGTCTAGCTGTGAGATACCCTGATAAAGAGAGTTTATCACTAATGATGCTAAATCTTAGAGCTGCAAAAGGTATCAACTGAATTTTGATTATTACAGTAGGGAATCTTTCAAGCAGGCCAAGCCTTGGAACATTATTTATTGCATGGCGCTTTATCAAGAAAACACTATGTTTTTTCTCAAAAAAGATAATCCTACTTTACTTAAAAAATAATTTTAAAAAATATTTTATATATAAATCTATCTTTTAACAAAATAGTTCTTAGTCATAAGAAAATCATAGAATATGGTGACACATTTGCAGAGTAGAAGCAACTTACAAGGTACTGCAAATAAAATGGAAGTGTAATCCCTGCCTGGGATCTTGGTAATCTAAAATAGATTCTCTGAGGGCAGGGTCCCCTTCACTAAGAATACCACAACCAGGGCAGCCATCAAAACCTAAGACGTGAAGGCAGTTCTTCCATGCCTGTGGGAGCCAACTCATGGAGAGTGAGAGGTCATGCAAATACACGGGCCAGGTAGTAAAAGCCAGTTGTGCTTTGCACATCCAAGACACTTGGTCATGAGCGCTGTCTGTGATTGTGCTATGACCTGAGTTCGGAGGTCTCATGAGCAGATTCACTGCTGCCTACCACAAGTGTGGTCCAGAGGTCTGCAGCTACAAGTGGTGAAAAAGCAAAACCACAGAGGAAAGAAATGAAGCAGGTACAGTGAGGCCCATCGACCAATATCAATCACCTGCCCAACGGCAGGGGAATAAAAGAATCAAGTAGACCGATAGGCAATGATGAAGGCTGATGGTTAGAGATCTTACCAGTTACCATGTCTCAGGAGTGGAGGAAGTTTCCTTTGAATTCTAGAGAAAACTGCCCATAGGGCCAAGTTGAAGGAAAACACAAGATAAGTGTCAAAGGTGGGACCACTGGACAGAGCACACCTGCACTTGTCATTTTGACAAATATTGCCAAGTTGCCCCACAGCGAGCCTGAGAGGTGCCTGCTTTCTCAGAGTTCCACCAGTACACGGTCATTACATCTTATGGCCATTGCCAGCCAGAGAGGTCAACAATGCTGTTTTCTGTCAATTAATAGTCATGTGAGGGAAGGTCCCAAAGTAGCAATATTTAAGATCCTTCCTTTTTCTAAATCTTAATCTCAGGGTTTAAGACTCAAATGATTGATTTCTTTTCGTATATTTCTTTATCTAGTCTGTGCCAAGCTGGATATTTCAGAATAACAACTGTAGTTTGAGAAGAGTGGCACTGAGGTCACATCCAGAGTTAGCTGATCTCACTGCATGTTACGGCATGGCCTTTGTTCGGTTCTAGGAGAGCCTCACCTACAAACCAGGCCCCTCACCTTTTTGGTGAGTGAATCATCTGAGTCTGATGGCATCCGAGTGGAAACGTGGAAAATCACTTCCACGGTTGAGGTAGCATAGTAAGGGGCGGTCTGCCCTGTGCTGCCATTGCGCTGAAGTCCACCCATGAACCCGCAGTGTGTTGAGAGATCCACCTGACACAAGTCACAAACAGAAAAAAGAATCAGGGTTAAAATTTAGCTGGTCTTATTCACTAAGCAGAAATGTGGATTAAAAAAAAAAATCTAATCATATTCATTTCTATAGCTTGCTGATGAAAACAAACGTTAATACAAAGTTACACAAAATTAAAATATTAAAGAAACATTAACAATGAAAGTGCTCCATAATCCTACCAACTTAAGAAAACCACTATCAAAAGTTTGGTGCAGGGCCGGCCAAGTGGCTCAGCTGGTTAAGAACTCGCTTGGGAGCACCAGCTCTGAGCAGCAGGGCCCTGGTTCGGGTCCCACATTAAGGGCCAGTGACGCTCGCCCTCTACAAGGTAAGATGATGAACAACAGCTCGACCTGGAGCTGGGCTGGTGTGAGTTGCTGGTGCTGGCACAGGCTGCAGTGGGGCTGCAGTGGGCTGCCGTGAGCTACGTGAGTGGCTGGCAGCCAGCGTGAGTGGCTGGCAGCTGGTGTGAGCTGCTGTGAGCCGCCAT